GGGACTGAAGCTGAGGTCGTGGCACACAACATGCGTCTTACTTCTCACACTACATTTCGCAGTTTCATATGCGCGTTGCGGAGGTATCACTCCGCTCCTCACTGCCGGTGATGCGGACGGATTTGCGTCTCCTTGATTGTACCACCAGCAATAATTATCATCATTCATCGTCCTAGCCATCCGGCCTATATAGCACCACAAAACAAACACCGTGCTGATGACACGTCCGGCCGCTTCTACTGTTGGCCGTCAAGAGAGCGAGCACGCTCGCCTCGCCAGTTACAATGTCATGCGCGCACACCCTTCTTGCTCGCGCCCTCTATATCATCAATTCCCGCATGACCATAATGAACGTGTAACTGTAACGTTGACGATACTACAAGGAGATGACGGGCAACACACGGACAGGATCGACTTCGCCACACTTGCTCGACCAGCGAAGTCCAGCGAAACGAAGCGAACATGCCCCCCGCTCTATATTTCGTTTGCTCGCGCAGCGAAGGCGAGCAAAACGAAGCGAACATATCCCTTGTCTCGATTTCGCTTGCTCGAGGAACAAAGTCCAGCGAAGTTGAGCGGAAATAAACGAACATGCCCCCACTCTGAATTTCGTTTGCTCGACCAGCGAAACCCAGCGAAACGAAGCGAACATGCCCCCACTCTGTATTTCGCTTGCTCGCGCAGCGAAGGCGCGCAAGTTTAATAGCTCTATTATATCGTTATATGTAACCCCACTTTGATATCTATTTCATATCTAACCGCCCCTTGATATCTAATTTATATCGATTCGCCCCCCCCCTTTATATCTATTTTATATCACGACATTAATGACATTAAAGTTGGGAACGCTCCTAATGGAGCATCACCCCTCTTCCCCCCAACTCTATCTCTCTCTCTCACTCTCACTCTTATCTCTCTCTGTGCGTGTCTGCTGATGTAGGCACAAGTTGGATGAGTGCATTGTACGCTCCACACTCATTTAGTTAGAGCAACGTGAAGGACATGTGCAAGCGTGTACGTATATATTAGTGATGGGAATCGGCTGGAATTTCATAATCGATTATCGGTTTCCCTTAACCGATCGATAATCGATTATAATCGGATAATCGGTTAATAATAGCATAGATTTAATTTAATCTTACTTTGTATATACAATTATACATAGCATTCAATATTATTATGTTTTATGATCATGTATTAACTCTGTGAAGGTTGCTGTATGTACATCAATGTCTGTTCCTATACAGTATTTAATCAATTTAAAAAGAAATGGTTTAAATGCCTTTATTAAAACATTGAAAGTTTTAAACAAACATGATCAAGACTTTTTCTTTATTATAGTAAGTAAGTTGTTTATGTTCTAATAGTGTAGGCTGTGTAGCTGAGTTAATGTCCTGCCAATAGAATATCCTCTCCAACACAATGTAACAAACAATACGGAGAGTAGAATCTTATCTACAGATAACATCTGTGGGACAGTGTCCAACCAAAACAAAGATTATTCCGATCTTAAAAAAAAATTTAAAAAATTCTTGATTTAAAAAAAAGAAGCTATTTCCGATAATAGAGTTATTTTCATAATCGATTATCGAATTTGAGACTATAAGCGATCGATTTTCGATTATAATCGATCATCGGGACATCACTAATGTATATGTATATATATTTATATATATATATATATATATATATATATATATA